TCCAGCCCTGGGCGCTCCCAGCAGTGTCCTTGACACACCCATGAAGGTGACACCTGGCCCGGGCGCCAGGACGTGCCCTGTCTTCTCGGGGACCTGTCCCATCCCCTCGGGGACCTGTCCCATCCCCTTGGGGACCTCCCCATCCCCCCGGGACCTGCCCCATCTCCTCCAGGACCTGCCCCAACCCCTCAGGACCTGCCCCATCCCCTTGGGGACCTGCCCTATCCCCTTGGAGACCTCCCCATCCCCTCCAGGACCTGCCCTATCCCCTTGGAGACCTCCCCATCCCCTCCAGGACCTGTCCCATCCCCTTGGGGACCTGCCCCATCCCCTCCAGGACCTGTCCCAACCCCTCAGGACCTGCCCCATCCCCTTGGGGACCTGTCCCATCCCCTCAGGGACCTGTCCGGGCGCTGGGCGTGCTCGGAAAAACAAAGGACTGCAGGTTCCTGGGGAGGAGCCGCTGTCCCCAGTGATGGGCACAGAGGGGCAGTGAGGGGCACAGAGGGGCAGTGATGGGCACAGAGGGGCACAGAGGAGCAGCCAAGCTCCTGTCAGACCTCCCCCAGCCCCAGAGTGTGTGCTCGGGGTTTGGGGAGGGCAGTGAGGTCCTGGGAGAGCGCAGAGCAGGGAGAGCATCGGGGAAAGCTCCTCCGGAACGGGCAGGGTGGGATCCGAGCMCTGCCGGTGGTCAGGGCAGCAGAGGCGGCTCCAGCGCTCACCAGAGSTCTCAGCTCTTGTTTATGTTTCTGGGATCATAAAAATTCCTGAGACGAATTCCCGGCTCCCTCCTGCAGGCTGTGCTTGGGATGGAGCGAGCGCTGCGGCCACGGGTGCTGCATAGCCAGGAGGGCACGGGAGGGCCTGGGGACATGTCCCACCCACTGCCCAGCCCACCAGGGACCCACGGGGACACAGGGACACRTCCCATGTGCTGCCGAGCCCTTTCCAAGGTCCTAGCAGTGCCTCGGGGATGTCCCAGCACTCCAGACACCACATCAGYGAGGGATGAGCATCCCACATGCACTGGGTGCCCCCAAACCTGCCCCAAAAGCTGTGGGTGGCAGGAAGGTGGACAGTGTCATCCTGCCCATCCTCTCATCCTTCTCATTCCTCTCACAGAATCCTGTTGTGGAATCAGGGAATGGTTTAGGTTAGGACCCACCCCATCCCACCCCTGCCATGACAGGGACACCTCCCACTGTCCCAGGCTGCTCCCAGCCCCAATGTCCAGCCTGGCCTTGGGCACTGCCAGGGATCCAGGGGCAGCCACAGCTTCTC